GAGTGGAACTACAAAACATGTTTCTTCTAACGTGATAGAACTGCTAATTTCATTAGTTTCAGGTTATCAGTCAGTTTAATGTCACCAAAAAAAAAAACAAACAGATATCTTAAATTTGCATCTAATCATTTGCCAGTTTTTTTTTTTTTCATTTCATTCCCATTGATTTTTTAGTTTGAAAAAAGAAAAGGCATTAGTTTGGTTATTTCTTTACATTTCCTTTCTAAAATACTTTATACTTAAATGAATTTAAAGTGATTGTAAAGCTTGATTTTTTTATTTTAATAAATGTAATTAAATAATAAACTTACTATACTTAACTTAACTTAACTTGCTCTGTGCAATGGTTTTGGACAGAGCAGCCCGATCCTCTTCTCAGGTCCCCTGCTGGTGGGGATGCTGGAAGTTCCTTGCTAGTTTTGGGCTGCATTTCTTGAAGATTTGGTCAGGATCAATGGTGTCCTCAATGTTGATAAATACAGGTAGATACTTATCCATCATGCCATATCATCAGGGAGGTGTGTGATTGGCCCCAAATATATTCTGTAGTAGGACAATGACCCCAAACACACAGCCAATGTCATTAAGAACTCTCTTCAGTGTGAAGAAGAACATTGAGTTTTGCAAATGATGGTTTGAACCCCACAGAGTTCTGATCTCTATATCATTGCGTCTGTCTCAAAATACATGACAGAAGGATTTGAGACAACCTACATCCACAGAAAATCCATGGTTAGTTCTCAGTGATGTTTGGAACAACCTACCTGCCAAATTTCTTTAAGAACCGCATGCAAATGTACCTAGAAGAATTGAAGAACTGATGCTGTTTTGAAGGCAAAGGGTGGTCACACCAAATATTAATTTGATTTGGATTTCTCTTCTGTTCATTTATTTTCCACTATGTTACTAAAGTGTTACTAAGTGTTGCTAAAGACAGATTTACATGTTACAAACATGTTACACTCACCTGCTCTGTGCAGTGGTATTGCACAGAGTAGCTCCGATCCTCCTCATCTTGGATCCCTCGTCGGCTATCTTGACTCCTCTTCTTTGTGTGTCTCCATAGCAAGCCGTTTGCTATGGAGACAGACACTGCATGCTCTCTCCTGACCTGTGTGTCTATGGAGCCACACTCCATAGGCACACACAGTGGGACTTAGCCCCGCCCCCTACTTCCTCTTCACTGCATTTGTTTGACAGCAGCAAGAGCCAATGGCTCTTATATATATATATACACCTTATATACAGCGTATGCAACTAGCCCAGTGGTGTATGCTCAATATGTTCAATGTGGGGAGTGCATACAGGCACCAAGAGAGGTGGGTGAGGTGTCCTCACACATTGCAGAACAAATGTAGGGTATGCTGTTCCATTCCCCCTTCTGTGTCTCATGCAGCTACAGCAGAAATGCTGTTTGTTTTTTGCCAGGGAGAGAACAGGTCCAAAAGGCTGGAATGGAGAGTAAGGTAGTGGGGCTATGATTGGCTGTGATCGTCTTACCTCTGTTTTCCTTCTCCCTTGACTCTTCACAGTACTCAGGGTACTAAAAACATATAAAGTAAGTGAGCGCCTTCCAGTCTATCAATTCCCAGATTACAGCAGCTGTACACAAAAGGCACCATATAAGACCTCTAAAACAGATAAAAAACATAAACGTGCAGCGCTGTTAAAACCAATAAATAAATACATATATAAACATGTAAGAAAGTGCACACAAATATATAAAGTGACACTGTGCATCTATGTATGTCCCACTAGAATATGTGGCCAATATAAACGTGAAAGAAAACACTGTGTCTAAAACATACGTCCAGAGTGCAGGCGTGAACGAGATCTCAAATGATCTTCTGGTATCCAAAAGACACAGATTGTGGATAAGGTGAGACAATTAAAGTGTAGATTGCACACTCACCAGATACGCAACCTTTTTGCGCATTTGTATGATATAATAAGGACATCAGACTTCAGACATCTCATCAAAAAGGTCTGGTCAGATCTGGTCAATGCCTCCTTCGCTATCCCACGGTTTGCACTTAGCCTTCCCAAATGGTAACCACTCTGCGGATGTACCTGGCTCCCACAGGAGCTCAGAAAGAAACAACAGAGGAGGCCAGGACACCCTATGACTAAGAGCACTTGCTCGAAACGTGTCAGGGTCGGGCTGTAGCTGTTTTGACGCCTTACCGCCGGCACCACAAGGGGTCCCGGCAGCAGCTTGCAATCGGTCAGTAATCTATTTTATTTGCTTTCTTGCTGTATACATACCCATTGTGTGGAATAAACATCCTAAGGCAATATTGCACTACTGGCCTCCTCTGTTGTTTCTTTCTGAGCTCCTGTGGGAGCCAGGTACATCCGCAGAGTGGTTACCATTTGGGAAGGCTAAGTGCAAACCGTGGGATAGCAAAGGAGGCATTGACCAGATCTGACCAGACCTTTTTGATGAGAAGTCTGATGTCCTTATTATATCATACAAATGCGCAAAAAGGTTGCGTATCTGGTGAGTGCGCAATCTACACTTTAATTGTCTCACCTTATCCACAATCTGTGTCTTTTGGATACCAGAAGATCATTTGAGATCTCGTTCACACCTGCACTCTGGACGTATGTTTTAGACACAGTGTTTTCTTTCACGTTTATATTGGCCCCATATTCTAGTGGGACATACATAGATGCACAGTGTCACTTTATATATTTGTGTGCACTTTCTTACATGTTTATATATGTATTTATTTATTGGTTTTAACAGCGCTGCACGTTTATGTTTTTTACTCAGGGTACTGCAGCTCTGGCTCTTCTCCCCCTTCTACTATTTCTGGGTCCAATAGGCAAGGCTATGATTAGCTGTAATTTAGCCCTGTTGACTAGACCAGGGAATAGGAGAAGGGAGAGAAGAGCCTGAGCTGCACTGCCTGAAGTACTGTGAAGAGTCCAAGGAGAAGGAAAACAAAAGCAAACAGTGCAGAGGAGAACAGTGCAGAGGAGGGCTGTTTCTACTGTAAGAGATAAGGTCACTTCCTGCAGCACTCTGCACTCTGTAGTCGGCGTCACTACTGACCTCTGAACCCCGCATAACTTAATTTGACTCCTGAACTCGATAGTAAGTGACGCAAAGGTCAGAGGTCAGTAGTGATACAGAAGTCAATAATAAGTGATGCCGATTTCAGAGGTCAGTAGTAAATGATGCAGAGTTCAGGAATCAGTAGTGATGCAGAGTTCAGGAATCAGTAGTGACACAGTGTTCAGGGATCCGTGGTGATGCAGAGGTCAGGGGTCAGTAGTAAGTGACGCAGAGTTCATGGATCAGTGGTGATGCAGAGTTCAGAAGGGGTCAGAAGTGACGCAGTGTACAGGGATCAGTGGTGATGCAGAGGTCAGGGGTCAGTAGTAAGTGACGCAGAGTTCTTGGATCAGTGGTGATGTAGAGTTCAGGGGTTAGTAGTAAATGATGCAGAGTTCAGGAATTAGTAGTGATGTAGAATTCAGGGGTCAGTAGTGATGCAGTGTACAGGGATCAGTGGTGATGCAGAGGTCAGGGGTCAGAAGTAAGTGATGCAGAGTTCATGGATCAGTGGTGATGCAGAGTTCAGGGGTCAGTAGTAAATGATGCAGATTTCAGGAATCAGTAGTGATGTAGAATTCAGGGGTCAGTAGTGACGCAGTGTAAAGGGATCAGTGGTAATGCAGAGGTCAGGGGTCAGAAGTAAGTGATGCAGAGTTCAGGGATCAGTGGTGATGCAGAGGTCAGGGGTCAGTAGTAAGTGATGCAGATTTCAGGAATCAGTAGTGATGTAGAATTCAGGGGTCAGTAGTGACGCAGTGTACAGGGATCAGTGGTAATGCAGAGGTCAGGGGTCAGAAGTAAGTGATGCAGAGTTCAGGGATCAGTGGTGATGCAGAGGTCAGGGGTCAGTAGTAAGTGATGCAGAGTTCAGGGATCAGTGGTGATGCTTGTTCAGGGGTTGCTAGTAAGTTATTCAGAGATCAAAGGTCAGTGATTAGTGACACAGTTCAGGGATCAGTGGTGATGCAGAGTTCAGGGTCACTAGTAAGTGATGCTGAGTTCAGAGGTCAGTGGTAATGAAGAGTTCAATGGTCAGTAGTAGGTGACACAATGTTCAGAGTTCAGCAGTAAGTGACACAGAGTTCAGAGGTCAGTGGTAAGTGATGAAGAGTTAAGGAGTCAGTAGTAAATGATGCAGATTTCAGAGATCAGTCATAACTGATGCAGAGTTCAGAGATCAGTAGTAAGTGATCTAGAGGTCATTTTTCAGTATTAAGTAGGTCAAATACCACTAAACCCTGAAACCCTAAAATGTGCAATGCAAAAAAAGAGCTTGGCATCTGTGACCATGTGCACTTTTCACACGTTGGGGTCCCACACCCAAGTGTTACTTGGAGCCTTAGGTGACCACTTCCAGGGGGCACAGACGATGCGGACTCTGTCTTTCTGGCACCTGGCCAGACAAAATAAACCTGTTCAAACAAGGAGGAAATGGGCTCATCTGATTTTCCTGGGGAATTTTCTCCTGGGCCCCAACAGAATCAGGTTCTCTTTCAGCTGGTACAAGCTATCAGAGCCCCCATCCTACCAGCAGGGGTACTATACAGCCAGCCATTCTCACCTAAAGGCAAGAATGACAGCGGAGCACCCCTACTGGACACTGGTAAGAACAGATCATACACTTGATCTTAGCCAAAAGGCCGACCGTCTCAATGTATACTGTATAAGTCAATTCAGACTCCATGAAACTACACCTCTTAAAGCCCTTTTCTCAAACTCAGCCAGGGGGCCCAACTCCTAGTCCCACACACAGGTCCACTGCTTTTAGAAAGTGCCCCTGTGCTAGCCTGTATTGTGCCATTTGTTCTTGGCTCTGCTACTAAGTAAAAAAAAATTAATGCATACTTGCAAGCTCTTCTGAAGAAAAATACATAAAAAGCCCTACCACATTCAACCCAAACTATGCTAACTAATGTGACTGCAATTTGACCCATCGTCAGTGAGCTTTCCACCTACATGAAGATCAAAGCCTGTCTTTGCAAGATAAGATCTTATGTGCTCTTCCAGATCAATATTAGTGCTGAGAACTGATTTTAAACTTTTATTATGGGGTCTTCTGAAGTTCATATTCTAAATAAATAAAATAAAAAGAAAAAAAAGGAAATGCGCTTAATGGTCTGTATCTGTATAGGAAATTTTGTTCAGACAGGAATTCTCTTTTAATAAAGCGGCATACTGAATTGTATTCTACTGTACAGAGTTCAGATATAAAGGGTTTCTATGTTCTGATAATTTTTTAAGTTAATAAGCATTGTTCTATAACATTTAAGGTGAAGAAAGACATCTAGGCGTCGTTAGTTTTATTTTTTTACCCACACAAAATCCAACATTTTCCTGGGACTCGCACATTTTTTTCAATTTAATCAAATGTGTTATTCTTGATTGAATCTATATACCTGTAAATAGACCCCCAAGTACTGCTCTCCAATAGTGTACATAATAAAGTATTGCCACCAGAGGGCATCCAAACACTGACTATATAAACTTCCAAATCTGAAGGTCACAGTAGAAATACTTATATGTTTTCCCATAGGGCCTAATTATATTTTAAAATTCAGTCTAGGTCATATATTACACAACAGTTTAGTAGAGGTATTATAAAAAAGCCTATTACCAGAAACTATAGACTAGCTGGAGATTAATAATACATTCCTACAGAGCTGTCGTATTACAACTACGTAACCTGTGCTAACAGATGAAATTCTTCATAGATCACCTCTACAACGCAAGGTCAATATAACCTTAACTTCACTATGATAAACACAATAGTGTGATTTTAGATGAAACACTTGAGTATATTAGATAAGCATAAGTATTATAGTCAAAGATTTGCTGGAAATGGTTTTAATGTTCTTTTTGTTCTTTTCAGGTTGTAGTAGCTCTCCAGTTATCTGAAAAAATGACAACCACTTTATAACCGGTGAACAGTGTAAAGCAGACATGTTCATGAGATAAATATATACATACACATACACACACACAGTATATACACTATATTGCCAGAAGTATTGGGACGCCTGCCTTTACACGCACATGAACTTTAGTGACATCCCAGTCTTAGTCTGTAGAGTTCAATACTAAGATGACCCACATTTTGCAGCTATAACAGTTTCAACTCTTCAGGGAAGGATGTTCACAAGGTTTAGGAGTGTGTGTTTATGGAAATGTTTGACCATTCTTCCAAAAGTGCATTTGTGAGGTCAGGCACTGATGTCGGAGGCCTGGCTCGTAGTCTCAACTCTAATTCATTCCAAAGGTGTTCTGTTGGGTTGAGGTCAAGACTCTGTGCAGGCCAGTAAAGTTCCTCCACCCCAAACTCGCTCATCCATGTCTTTATGGACCTTGCTTTGTGCACTGGTGCGCAGTCATGTTGGAACAGGAAGGGGCCATCCCCAAACTGTTTCCACAAAGTTGGGAGCATGAAATTGTCCAAAATGTCTTGATATGCTGACGCCTTAAGAGTTCCCATACCATAATCCCCCCTCCACCAAACTTTACACTTGGCACAATGCAGTCAGACAAGTACCATTCTCCTGGCAACCGCCAAACCCAGACACGTCCATTGGATTGCGAGACAGAGAAGCGTGATTCATCACTCCAGAGAAAACGTCTTCACTGCTCTAGAGTCCAGTGGCGGCATGCTTTACACCACTGCATCCGATGCTTTGCATTGCACTTGGTGATGTAAGGCTTGGATGCAGCTACTCGGCAATGAAAACCCATTCCATGAAGCTCTCTATACACTGTTGTGCTAATTTGAAGACCACACAAAGTTTGGAGGTCTTTAGCTATTGACTCTGCTGACAGTTGGTGACTTCTGCACACTGTAACTCTTCAGCAAGAACTGACCCCGCTCTGTCATTTTACGTGGCCTACCACTTTGTGGCTGAGTTGCTGTTGTTCCCAGTTGCTTCCACTTTGTTATAATACCACTAACAGTTGACCGTGGAATATTTGGTAGCAAGAAAATTTTATGGATGGACTTATTGCACAGGTGGCAACCTATCACGATACCACACTTGAATGCACTGAGCTCCTGACAGCAACCCATTATTTCACAAATGTTTGCAGAAGCAGTCTGCATGCCTAGGTGCGTGATTATAGACACTTGTGGCCATGGAGGTGATTGGAACACCTGAATACAATGATCTGGAGGGGTGTCCCAATACTTTTGGGAATATAGTGTGCGTGTGTATATATATATATATATATATATAGTTAGTCATGGCCAAAAATATTGGTACCCATGTATTTCTGTCAGATAATGCACCACTTCGCCCAGAAAATTGTTGCGATTACAAATGTTTAGTCATTTTCATGTCTATTTCTTTTGTTGTATTGGTATAACAAAGTGGAGAAAAAAAAACCCAAATCTGACACATTCCATGCAAAATCTCAAAAATGGACTGGACAAAATTATTGGCACCTTCTCAAAATTGTAAGAAATAATTGCCTTCCAAGTTTGTGATGCTCCTGTAATTTGTAAATAAATTCACCTGTATCAATTAACAGGTGCTGACAATATAGAAATCACACCATCAACCAGTTAAAATGGTGAAAAATTGACTCAGCCTTTCTGTTGTGTGTCTCTGTGTGCCAAATGGAGCAAGGAGAAGGAGAAAGAGCAGTACTGAATTGTCTGAGGATTTGAGAACAAAAATTGTGGAAAAACATGGATAATCTCAAGGTTACAAGTCCATCTCCAGAGAACTTAGAGAACTCCAGAGAGAAATGTTCCTGTGTCCACTGTGCGCAACATTGTCAAAACCTTTACAGATTTGATTGCCACCTTTCACCGCCATTAATACAATGTGTGAGTGTTAGGGCCTGGACTTGAATCCAGGACCTCTGCTGTATCTGGCAGTAACTCTTCTTACTGAGCTACCAGGAATGCTGGACATCATTCTACCTGATCCATTGGACAATTCTGTCTTGTGCCTTGTTTTCTGCTGAACCTCCCATGAACTTCCTGATTTGAGCTATGTCTTAGCACTTCCTGTTTGCCAGATTATTGTGCCTTTTCCAGCCAATATCTTGCTCTTGTCCCTCCTGCTGTCATCCGTACTTTTGCTACCACTCATTACTAACCTTTGGCTTGTTTCTCGACCACGCTTCTGCCCAATCCATATCTGCAACCACTTGTTACCAACCTACAGCTTGTTTACTGACTACACTTCTGTTTTGATCCCTACCTGTTATCTCTGGTAATGGACCTTGGCTTGCTCACATCCTGGTGGGGAGATCCTGAGAACCAAGACCTGGTACTAACACACAGCAAAACCCATCTCCAGCTCTGGAGAATACCAGTTAGTGCTTAGACCCTGCTTCTCAGGTGAGCTCATGCCATCTGCCAGGGTGTCCTGCTTGTATACCATCCTGCTGGCTGGTGGAAGCTTTTTCGCTGCTATAGCTACTGGTCTCCGAGCCTGAGACCTGACCAAGACAGAATAATCTGGCCTAAACATGGAGGTCGCTATAGCAAATGCTGTGACGTCTTTCAGGAAGCAAATTTCAGAGCTGCAAGAGTTCAGTGTTACCTATCAAGACATTTTTTCAGAACTGGAAAGTATGGTAAAGTGGCAACAGGAGGAAATCCATTCTCTGCAGAGACAATTGTTGGACTTATGTCCCCACGATGTTGCTAACACACGTATGCCTCTACCACTAAAGTTCAATGGAGACTGCCACTATAACGGAGGTTTCCTTAACCAATATCGCATTTACTTCCAGATGCAAACAGCTGCATTTACTTCTGAAAAACAGAAGGTGTTGTTTGTTATAAACATCCTGACTGAGGAAGCCCTAGCTTGGGCCTCTCCTTATATAGAACAAGACAGCGCAACTCTGAATAATTTTGAGACTTTTGTGACCGAGATGAATCAAGTCTTTGATGATCCCAACTGTTGAGCCACTGCTGAAGCAAAGCTGTATGTTTGTGACAGGGTAAACACTCTGTTGCCGAGTACACAGCTGAATTCCAATGATGGATCTCAGACACCACCTGGAACCCAGCAGGGTAAAAGTGTCAGTTCCGCCAAGGGCTCTCTGAACAGGTAAAAGATGAACTCGCCAGAGTAGAGACTCCTAATGATCTTGAGGCTTTCATCCATTAATGCATCCAAATTGATCAGAGACTTAAAGAAAGGAGGAAGGAGAGATTGGGAATGTTTGGCAGTAATGGTGGCATACGTTTTTTTTCTACTAATCAGTTCATTCAGAAGGATCCATACATTTCTTGTGGGGAACTCTGGGCATTACGCAGTTCATTGTCCCAACAAAATTAAAGAACAATTTCTGCCACTTGTGTTATGGAGCCTGAACAAAGAAACCCCGTTACGCAGTCTATCTCCCCATTGATCCATGAAGACAATAAAGTTAGTTCTATACTGTCTCATTTTATAATCCCTATCAAACTTATCACTGAGAGCAGTGAAATTCCTTGCTCTGCTATGCTGGACTCTGGGGCCAGGGGGAACTTTATGGACATAGTGTTTGCCCACAGTAAGAATATTCTCACAAATCTGCCCCTATTGATATGGAGACAGTTGATGGTTCACCTTTATCATTAGGACCTGTTACCCATGAAATGGTTCCTCTGGTACTCCAATTTGAGGCTGACCATCATGAGACCATCAGCTTCCAGCTGATTATGTCACCAAATTTCCTGTCATCTTGGGCATTACTTGATTTTCTACCCATAACCCCTCCATCAACTGGGAAGAACAGACTATAAATTTTACATCCCCCCATTGTGAGGAACATTGTAGAGAACCTTCTCGTTAGATGAAAAGAATTATGACATTGGGAATAAATAGTTGCTGGCAATTAAGGAAGCTTTTTCTGAATCGAGGCATTTGCTGGAAGGGGCTAAGCATTCTGTGACTGTTCTCACTGATCATAAATTTCTAGAATTAATTTGTTGTGCCAAGAGATTGTCTTCTAAACAAGCATGTTAGTCACTGTTCTTTTCAAGGTTTAATTTTATTATCTCGTATTGACCTGGGTCAAGAAATGGTAAAGCAGATGCCTGATCATGGATGTTGTCTGGTCCTCTTCAGGAAAATAACTCTGAATGATTGATCCTGCCTCAAAAGAACTTCCTAGGGGCCATAAGTTCTAAGGTATTTTTAAATTTTCTCAGAGAGGGGTATGAGAATGACCCACTACCCAATCATCCACCTAAGGACATTAATCTGGCTTATAAGAATGGTTTTCAGATTCAGATTCAGATTCAAGTTGGTTCATGATTCCAAACTTGCTGGGCATTTTTGGGGTTTCTAAGATAGAAGAACTTTTATCACGTTCATTTTGGTGGCCTGGTTACAAAAAAGATGCTAAGCGCTATATAACCTCATGCCTGACATGTGCATGCAATAAGACTGCCCGCGCTTCAAGGTAGCTTCAGCCACTCCCTGTTCCCTGGGGGTCAATTTCAATGGACTTTGCGGTTGCCTCCCTCAAAAGGAATGACCACTATCTTGGTAGTTGTCGACTGTCTCACAAAGATGGCTCATTTTGTTCCAGTTAAAGGGGTACCCACTGCTGAACAAACTGCGGAACTGAAGAAGTCTTTAAACTACATGGAATCCCTGATTACGTAGTGTCAGACAGAGGAGTGCAGTTTACTTTGAAATTCTTCTGTTCAGCATTAGGTGTTACAATTAATCTGTCCTCTGCTTTTCATCCCCAGTCTAGTGGTCAGACTGAGAGGATCAATCAAACTCTGGAGCAGTATCTTGTCAGTTATCTTCAGGATGATTGGGTAGATTATCTTTCTACAGCAGAGTTTGCATATAATAATTATAAACATAGCTGGTGTTTAAGTTAAAAAGACTTTGAAAAATGGAAGCTATCATTCAGTTTGTATTCCTGATCTCCCTATTACAGCTCCAATTGTTGCTGTTATTAACAAACTAACTACATTGCAGGAAATTCAGGAGAAACTGATTGAGACTGAGGGAAACTCAAGAATGCTACAAAAATGCTGCCGACAGGCATTGCAGATCGCTTCCTACCTTTCATGTGGGTGGCAAAGTTTGGTTATCAACCAAAATGGGAAGGTTCATGTTCCATCTGCTGAGTTGTGTCAAAAGTTTGTGGGTCCTTTTCAGATTGCTGCCCAAATCAACCCAGTCAACTTCCTGACAGTATGAAGATTCACTCTGTTTTTTCACATTTCGGTACTCAAACCGTTTCATGAAAATCCTTTTTCTGAAAGAATTCTCCCACCTCCTCCACCTGTTGAGGTACAGGGTGAAGAGGAATTTGTGGTGGAGAAAATTCTTGATTCCAGGATCTTTAGGAACAAATTACAACATCTGGTCCAATGGGAAGGATATGGGCCAGAGAAAAATTCTTGGGAGCCTGAGGAGAATGTTCATGCCCATAGATTAACAAGAGAATTCCACTAGAGGTTTCCTCACAAACCGGGCCCTAACACATTCAAAGAACATCCTGGGAGGAGGGGCGTACTGTCAGGGCCTGGACTTAAACCCGAGACCTCTGTTGTGTCTGGCAGTAACTCTTCTCACTGAGCTACCATAAATGCTGGACAGCACTTTGCCTGATCCATTGGACAATCCTGCCTTGTGCCTTGTTTTCTGCTGAACCTTGAAATCTTTGCTCCTCCTATGAACTTCCTGATTTAAGCCAGGTCTTTGCACTTCCTATTTTCCAGCCAAATATCTCACTCTTGTCCCTCCTGCTGCCATCCATATTTTTACTACCACTCATTGGCAACCTTTGGCTTGTTCCTCGACCACGCTTCTGCCAGATCCCAATCTGCAACCACTCCATATCGACCTTTGGCTTGTTTACTAACTATGCTTCTGTGTGATCCCTACCTGCTATCTTCGCTACTGGACCCTAGCTTGCTCACCTCCTGGTGGGGTGATCCTGAGGAGACCAACCTGGTACTAACACACAGCAAAACCCATCTCAACCATCAGTACTATGCTTGATTGTACTATCACTATCATACTTACGCTATAGGTCGCTGATCACCGTCATTACTAGTATAGTGTTTGTATATATCAATATATTGATCTTGAACAGAGCTACTGTATACCAGTGCTCCCTTAGTAT